GTGCACTTCACTAAGTCTAATAATTAGACTAGGGGCGGGGATTAGACACAACAAGATTTATGTGTCAAAATAAAAAAGGTATGAGCCAGACCAACCCAGTTAATAGCATGGGTAGCTCAGGTGGCTCACCCTACATAGACAGGCCTAAGCTCAGCCTGTTTCTAGTTATTAGTGATCATGCTGTACAAGAAATTGGATAGCCTAATATTACAAAAACAATATCAAGTATTAATAGAGCCTTCACTCATATATGGCCAACAGACTAATGTAACTATATGCTGCCCTCTCCATTTATTCTTGTAATCTGATATTTAATTTGTATGTGTAATCAAATGGTGACGAGTGAAATTAGGGAATAATTTCATGCGCATTTTGTCCAAATCTTAATAATTTCCCGAGCTTTTAGGTGAGGGAAATTATTAGGATAATTTTGGACAAAACGCATTAGTATACCATTTGATTACCTATTAATATCATGGGTGACGAATTACATTAGCAATCTTGGATTTTTGACGTGTTTATCCTGGATCGTATCGATCGAGAACTCCACTCTCTCAAATGTTTAGACCTTAAATTTGGCTTATGAAGTTCAGAATTTTTCAGACTATTTCGGCAAAATACCTGTTAGAATCCTTCTTGATGTTCTCTTGTGTTTTCAGGTTTTCTAAAGCGTCTTTTTGTGCCCTGACATCTTCTTTCACGGCATTTTAAAACTTCGTCACCATCTTGAACTGAGACGTACGGAAGGTTGCCATGGCAATTTTGTAATTTCACATGTGAAATTACAAATTAACGCTGATATTTCGCGCCAAAGTTAAGGAGTAATTTGTCACCTATGATATTATTAAGAATAGCATCTTCATCTTCAAATCTTGTAATATAATATAAATGGCTTGTAAACTAAATAAATGGGGGAAATAAGTAAAAAATAAATAGAAATAAATAAATGTACTATGCTGGTATAAAAGAAAGTTTTAAGATTAAGAGAAAGGTCAACTCACACAGGACTAGTTTTTATTCAAATATTTCTTTTTCATTTGTTTTCTTAGGTGTTTGCTTTAGTGTGTGGCTTTGGTATTTTTTGTGTGACCTGTGAACGACATAAGCCCGGACGTGATGAGATTGAAATAGTTATCAACGAGACACAGTCCAAAATCTGGAAGTGCCCTGAATGTCCATTTGGCCATGAACCAAATGTTAAGTGTGGAGCTAGTGTTAACAGCAGTGTGCATATTCAGTGTGTTGAGTGTGTAGAAGGGCATACCTTTTCTGATTCACATGGATATGCACCGTGCAAGAATTGCCATAAGTGCGTAGAGAATGAAGAAAGATCTGGATCATGTTCAAAGGAAGAGGATACAACAAAGTGCCTACGAACATGCCTCAAGGGCTTCTACTGGGAGAGTGCATCATGTCAGCCATGTAGTAATTGTTGTGGAGAAAATTATCAACATGAAAAACAATGTGAAAATGCAGGTGTTCCAACTAATCAGCAGTGTCGGCAAACAGTTGAGTGCCAGCATGCCCCAATAAATGCAAGCCATCTTGGTGACAAACAAAGGCAAGAGGATCAAAATGATTCCCAGAGGAAGTCTCTCTCCACGCTGGAAGTTGTAGCCTTGGGAATTGTTTCAGCTGTGTTGATAGTCACTGCATTTTTGATAGTGGCTCTCTTAGTGATGTGGAGGTTACATGGTTGGCAGGAAACTAAACGTATCCTTAAGAGATACTTTTGTTCCTGCTGCCCTTCTGCAATCTCAAATGATGAAGTGGCTGGCCAGTTTGACAATGAAGTTTTTGATCCAGGTAACTTTGAGCCAACTACTTGGAGAGAATATGAGATGCAAAAAGAGGAGGAAACAGACCAGATGGGACCCTTGAAATCAGGTGATTTTGCTTCATTCATTTATACAGATAGTAAAGCAGGATGATTGAGGGGGTGACTTGAATTTTTTAAAGTTGAAAAAAGGATGGCAAAAATTTCTGAGGACAGAAAGGGGAATGTATTTTTTTAACTACAGTATAAGCACCCAGCAAGACCTGTAGATCTATACTGCCATATATCGGCTTTACTGGTATTTGCTGCTGAAAAAGGTGGGGTTTTTAAGTAGAAATCAGAGGCACTTTGTTGTACATAGTAGACTACAGGTACTGAAAACAAATTCTATTATAATTCTATTATAAGCTCCCCACACCCAGATACTGTATTTTCCCTAAATTTTAGCTCAGCAGCTATCATGGACCATTCTTGATCCATAATGCTAAAAATATGCACCAAAGGATCACTCCCCTGGTGGTATTACTTTTCCCAGTGTTTAGAATTATTGCTATGGATCAGAGGGTAAGTTTTGAAGTAGACAGTTTAAGGACGGCTTGGCAATATGAGTGCTGTAGGTAATTATTTTGTCCTGTCCTCCACTTTACCCATTTTTCCACCAAAGGTAGACAGCTCAGACCTCAATATAGCTAGTTTTTTAGCCAATTGCTGGCACTTTAATGAAAACCTAGTGAATAGACCTTTAATGTAGCTCTTCCTTTTCTTTTAGTTTCTCAATCTGCTGGCAAGAGGCCTGCTTTCCAGCGGTCAGTAAGCTCATCAGTTCCAGCTGAATCACAACTGAAAGTAGAATCAGTCATTCCTAGGTCACATTCCCACCCAGGATGTCTTGGAAAACTTGGGAAGGAGCAGATGACAGAGAACCAACCTGCAGCTGTCCCAAAGAAAACTCGTAGGAAGTGGATGAGATCCAAGAAATTGGAAAAGAATGGATATGGTTGGTTCTTTTGGTTCTTAAAATAGAAACCTTTTCCATAGTTCCTTATTTTACGTTGTAGCAGTATGTTTACAGTGAAGTGATAACAAAATATACTGTGTAACACAAAAGGAGGAAGAAGAAAAAAAGACAAAGGAGGGAACTCGATTTAACATGTGTACATGTATTAAGGATATCACTTAACTAAAGCTTGAAACTGAAGTACATGTAAACATTAGTTTTTCAAAAGTATTTTCATTGTAGGAACAGAAAACACAGTGGAGGTAAAAAAAAAGTATATTCCAACCTATATTTTCAATCTTTACTTTCTGTTAATAGTTGCTGTACCGACTGATCCAGATCTTCCTGATGTTACATTTGAGGGAACAGCTGATATGCCCAGTATGTATTTAGTTAATGCTTCCCAAAAATTATCCCCCTTTGGACATTTCCACAACAAGTTCAAACAAGAAGTAAAAATTATATTATAGCGGGGTGTCCTATGGGGGGGGGGAGTTATCAAAAATATTTTACATGGGGAGGCTCTGCCCCAAGGTCCAACCCCTTAACTTAGTTATATACCACTTTTGGCAAAAAAGGTTCCCCTTTCGTATACCTTCTAGTTACAAATGGTACCCCTTTCAAATAACTGGGTTCGAACTTTGCATCCCTTTTAACCTCTGTAAATAAACTGTCTTTAAATATGAATAAATCACAAAACCAGAGCATCTTCTCAACTTTCAAGCAGGCATAAAATGCAGCTGTTTAATACCCCTTTTGGCCCTTTTTATGTACTGAAATGACAGTTTTCCCCACCCTTTCATATATTTTAACTAAAAGGTTCCCCTTTCCGGTGTAGCCTCCACATATTTAACAATTAATGAATGAGGCTGAGTAGAGCTGAGTTCAACTTCGTCCCCAGGTCTTCTCGGTTAACGGCGCATTAACCTGCATAGCCTGGGACCAGGCTCCGCAGTGGGTGAAAAAGGCAAAACACGGGTTCAAATTTATTAGCCTGCGTTGCTGCCGGCCCACCCACTCGTCTAAACCTGTAATATAGTCCATACAGAAGGCTTAGAGCGTCTGCAACGCAAGGTCAAATAGGAATTGGGGAGGACTACCTCTTGGCTCGCTTCGCTCGCCAATTTTTTTCTTCTCCTCCCCCCAATGCGGAGCCTGGTCCCAGGCTATAACCTGCAAGGAAGCTGCCCTTTTTTACGTCATCAGTTGATTGGTCGCAAAATTCTTCCAAATTTGGTCGTTAGTAGCTGGTTACTGGTGAATTATGCGTGTGCTTTTAGCCAATCAGAATAGGGGAAATATTTTTAATGAATAATAAAGGCCATTATCGGGAGTACACCCCGGTGTTGTCCTCAAGGCGAGAGTTGACTGTATTCAGTAAAAATCAACCCACCTTTTAAAGTTTAGTTGTCCTTTAGCGAATTCTTGTCAGTTGTGAAGGAGGGATTATATGTCATCATTTGTAACAATACAGTGACTTAAGCACATCTTCATATTTGTCATTAACAGGAGGGAAAAAGCCTACAAACCCGCGTTCATTCTTTGTTGGGCAACAGCACCAAAGTACTTCAACAACAGGCCTTGATTACACTCAACATACTACCACCACAGTAGCATCAGTGCCAGAGCATTTCCAGAGCAACCTCTTAAAAGGAAAAATGGAAAAAATCCCAATTAAGTTTTATAGTAAAATTTGTATGAAGCTGGACAAACTACGAGATTGCTTTTGGGATGATTATCGTTTGTTTGGTGAAACGATTGGCCTTGACAAAGACATAGTAACGTGCTTGGGTCAGATTGGGAATCCTACATGTCAAATGCTGGAGAAGTTTGATTCTCGAGAAGGTAGCTCCATCAGGAAATTTAGAGATCTTGTCAAGAAAATGGGAAGAGATGATGTTGTGTCCATTCTCGAAGACTGGATCGTTGATGAGTGGATAAAGAGCAGTTATTCGTTATCCTCAATGTAAGCTGATAATTTAAGAGAAAACAGTCTCGAGACTTATTAAATGCTGATTCGATCTCCCCTTTTAAAAGTGCACAAGTTGAAGGGCTTGGTTAATAGCCCTTCTATGATCTTAAGCACTTAGAACAGCGATGTATAAGCGCTATATAAATTCCATTATTATTATTATTATGATAAATAATAATGAAGCTCGGTATAAATTTCGACTGAAAAATTACTTATCCAAAAAACATCCTGTAATTCATGCAAATTCTACCTGCTAAAAAGGATCTTCTCATAGTGACAAGAGTCTCTTTGATTTCATTTGAAGTAGGAAAGTATCCATTTAAGCAGGAGGTAAATTAGCTATAGTCAATTGTAACTTACCTGGAATGGGCAAATGTTTGGCCTTTTGCCGTTAAAATTATGTAACACTTTTTCCCAAACCCAGTTCTCCACTTTGCTCTGTAGAAAATCTTTTGCCCACTTAGATGTATATATTTGATAGAATGTGGAAAGGGCAATTTGTACACAACGAATTTTTCATTAAGAAACTTATTTAAATTGGTATATATTATACAGGGTGATGTAGGTTTTTTTGTATGCCATTTGAAATCGCACCGTTGATATATTTGAAACAGTTGTGCACATTTCCTCGAGAGAGTAATTTTTGATACGGGTCTGTATTTGCATTTTAATTTCTTTAAAATTTTGTAAAGATGTCTTCTTTTTCTTTGGAGACGTAGGTATTTCATTTGGTCATTCGAAAACAGTTTCAAAGCTAATATACATTTGTTCTCTGAAATTTCAAAATATTATTCTCACAAGTCGCTCTTTTACATTCTTTTAAATGTTTTTTTATGACAAATAGAGGAACCCACAGAATGACAAGGAATACTTTATCCAAAAACGCTCCCTTTAATATTGTTAATAAGTAATTGATAATTTACTGTTTAGAGTTGTAAATTCTATAAATGAATTTTACGATTATTAATTGAATAATATTTATTTCCTTAACATTTTCCAAGGCGATGTCTAAATCTTATTCAAAACAAATTATAAAATCATGTTATAATTCAGACCAGCAGCGATGAGTTCTTCCTAGTAATGCTGAATTTGGCTTGTTCATGAATCACTTTAAAATACTTCCAATTTTTTGAGGTCTCTTTTAGTATAGTTTTGTTTGTTTTTCTTTCTTTCTCGTAGATATTAACTTTTATAGCTACTCTGAAAATCCGAGGTTTAGATAAAGGTGATATGTATATGATTGTAAATGCAGAACATTATCAAAATGAACGTTAGAGTTGTGTAGCACGTTGCATGAACCATCATTGCTGGTCAGAAATAATACATGTCCTATGGTAGTGGCGTTGTCACAAGGTTATTTTAACTTAAAAGATAGAATAGCTTTCAATTTAATATAAAAGGCAATACTGATAATATTTTTCTATACTGGCCCATATAGAAACATTAGAGGCAGTTGTCTCGATTTCTTGTGTCCTGTACAGTTTTTATGCATGCTTTAAAGCCCTCTCCAAACGGACGCAACATTGTTGGGTGTTACTTGTTGCGTCCGTTTGCACACCCTGTTGCATGTTGTTTACGTGTTGTTTGGAGTTGTTGCACAAAGTTTGAAACCGGACCAACAATGTTGGGAGTTGTTTCGTCCGTCTGCATCTATCTTAAGTTTATGGGACGGAGGAGGGGGGAGGTACTTTAGGAATTTCTGGGTGGGGATGTGCCGCTGGGACCCTGGAACCCTTAACCTATACCAGAGCTAGCTCAGCTAAATTTTGCTAACCTATACTAGAGTAAACTCGCCAAATCCCCCCTATCCTAGAGTAGCTGATTCCCTAGGCTAGATAAAATCTTCAACCAACTGATCAGTTTCCTGAAAAATGATACCCTATTCTAGACCCATATGTTCTGATTTATATACCCTATCCTAGAGTAAACTGCTTGAAAACCATACCCTTCACAGCGGCACATACCTATATAGCCCATATATGGCAGTACTGCCCCCCCCCCGGGATAGTGGCTCAGTTGCAAGTATTCAGGCCGTGTTACCAGTAGCCTCCCCCGCATACGTTCTTTTGGTTCGTCAGGCAGGAACGCGTGACCAACCCCCCCTAAGAACGTCTGCATAAGAGGCGCTGTTACCAGTAACTACTATGTTTTTATGTTTATAACATTTTATGAGTTGTCCCATATTTTTTTAATTTGATAACTTTTAGTACATATAATCCAAGTAGCTGTAATAACGTATTTAAATATATTTTTAAAGAAATATGTGTATTGTGTCATTTTTTGTTGTCCAAACTTAGACACGCTGAAGTGCACATTGGCCTGGAGACAGCCCCCACCCCCCACCCCCGCCACCGTTTTTACTCTCATGTCTAGTCAAACTCACCCTAAAGGAGCGTTTGCACATGACGTCACGGCAGCCATGTTGATGTTCATAGGCGTACGGGCCAGGGGGGCGAGGGGGGCTGCAGCCCCCCCAAATTTTGGGGAGCGAGAGAAAATTTGGGCAAAGCCAGTTTTTTAAGACGTTCGGGTGTTTTTTAAATCATTATTTTGAAGAAATAAATATTTTCTATTTTAACCTGAAGTTGGCGTAATAATCCAGTACTGTTACATTTACACGAGACAGTGGTTGCCTAGCACGTAATGAGTTTCTGGTTATAAGGGAAGGGTATCATGTGCTGATTTTTTTTATTGCTGGGCACTGTACTGCAATGGGCTATTTCCAGTCGTGAATTGATTAGAATAAACTTCCGCCTAACTTTCTAGAATCATCTCCGCTCATAGAACAGTGTATAGCAGATAGCATCAGTAATGGGTCTGAAAGTGAAGAAGTGGCTGACTAATTCTCAGATTGAATTACGCGAAGAATCGTATTTTTTTGACAAAAAATTCTATCGAGTGGTTTAAAGATTATTCACTAATTTGTTAAAGTAGACCGAAATGTTTACAAAACCGCTAACAAGAGCGCCATGATACATACTAAATATTCAAATCCTTTTTTGGCCAGAGCTATGAGGTGAAATCGCATGTCAAAAGCGCTTCGTTTTCTACAGATAATGGCCAAACAGCAAGATTTTCCTTTTTTACCGTATTTCTAACGATAAAAACTTTATCCCAAAATATCAACGCAACGCTCTTACAGATTCCGTTTTAACTTCACGAACATGGAGGCGACTATTGGAGGAAAATGCTTCCGTGAACGATTTTGGAAGAACAATTCCCAGTGAGAAATGTTGCTGCAAGTATAATAGGTAATGACATCATTTGCTTGCTATGACAACTCCAATGTTATTGCAACCCGGATCATAACAAATTTTCATCTTTATCTAATAAAACTGTGGTGGCAATTTTTCCAAATGTTTGTTTATGGTGTCGTAGTCTATGCTCAAAAAAAAACTTCACAGGTATTGACCCTGAAAAACTGTATCGAGCCACTTTCATATGCCAGTACGGCCTATGTTGTTGCATCGTATGGCCCTGTTTCTGTTCGACTGTTTTGTAAAAATTTGGGCAACTTGCAAGAATTTTTTGGGCAAATGGTTTACCGCCCCCCCCCCCCCCCCCCCAGCATCCTCCCCCCCCCCCCCCCCCGACGCCTCCATCAACCAACACTGCACCCACCCCGGTCCCGTATACAGACATGGCAGACATACACCACCACTATGTCATATCACCAACTTATTTCAACTCTCCCCTAGCAAAAAATTGCCCGTACGCCTATGTTGATGTTCCAAAACAATAAAACGGCGTCCATGCTGGTGTATTAAGACAACCCTGTGGGAATTGAACTCTTTCCTTATGTAAACAATTCCTTTTGTTCCAATAAATTAGCATAGATGCCGGCCACTTAAGTAAAATTGGCTAGTGCAAGTATCCAAATTGTGCTAAGTTCTCCAGTGTTCTCTTATTGACAGGTCACTGCTAAAGTTGACATTGCGTAAAAGGTACAACAGAAGTAACACCTGAATGTAGCAAACGTTCAAAAGTTTTCTTTTGCCCCCGCGCCGTTTTTTCGTTACTGTTATACCCGCTATAATTTTTTCTAACTTTATATGTAAAGAATGGGCTTCTGGTGTGAAGCTTTACCTTCTGATACAGTAAAAAACCCGCGAGAAAGAACCAGTTATTCTAGGCACCTTCCGTACAAGAACCTGGCTTTCTTTCTAACTGAATATGAAACAAAATTATCAAAATGCACCTCACAACATCCCCGAATTATCGGGTTAGCCAATAACAAACATCCCTTGACAAACCGATAGACTGATGACGGCTTCAAAATCTTTGCCACTAATCATTCATGCCCCCTCTGAATAAAAGAAATAAATAAGGATTTAGAGAAAATAAAAAGCATTTCCAAAATCCAATCGACCAGGAGCCTGAGTTGTAATCAAAGAAGCACTATATCTGGATGTGCTACCTCCAAAATCCTTATTTATTTATTTATTTATTTCATTTTGATATTTGTGTCTTTATCACCAAGTGATATCTACAAAAATGTATGCTTCATTTTAATCCAACTGATTACGGGTAACTACTGAAACAATTATCCCCGCCAGTGTCTATGCATAGCGCCAGATACATAACTTTTGAAAAACCGGAGCCTGGACATTAAATAAATCGATGAATAAATAACGATTAAAACTATAAATGACTGGTTTACTGGGTTCGATCGAGCTCTGATTGGTCTATTTTCGGGCATTTTTTTTTCATTTGTTGAGGTTTGCTAAACTAACAACGCTTATTGTAAATCATTACAGATCATGCCTTGGCTAGACACTATTTAAAGACATTTGAGTGTGCCATTAATTCTCAGTTCGGCGTTTTCATCCACATTCCCCGCGTCCTAACTCCCATTTCAAAAGCCTAATCCCAGTTCCCTTTTTGCCTCTTCAAGACTCTCTCTCTCTCTCTCTCAAAACAATCTAGACTTTCAAAAAAGTCCTTCGTCCAATTTGCCTAAAAAACTCGCTCCGCTCTCTCCGGCTTAAGCTCGTAAGGTCGACTTGTGGCAAGTCCAGTAAAAACAGTCCTGCAGTCTTTGTTTGGCAGTGCTTGGTTTGTTTGTTTACGCGAGGCATTTGCTGTAGAAAAAAAAGGAAACTGCTGAAGAGAATGGGAATAGCGTTAGAAATATACAATTTAATACAGTGATCGATCAAGAATTACAGCGGTGTGCAAAGGATCGTTCACTTTTAAATGAAAAGAAATGCAGTCGTTCTGGAAACCAAGGTTTAGTGCAGGGATATTACTATGAAAGATTAATAGGTAACTTTCATTTCAATATTGTTTAGGAGGACAGACGTTTCACGGTGATATACATATCCTGCTGCGGTGTATACCACAGCCAGTGGGAAACGAGAAAGGAAACTATATGAATACCACAAAACCGAGCCTAAAGATACATATAAGATAATTCGCTACTCCTGGATAATTATTAATAGCTTTTTTACAGGTTTAGAAAATTAAACTGAATTCGTAAGAACTTAACTTTATTGATATTTGCTAGACTTAACAGCGACAAAATACCATCAAGCCAAGATAGCTAGCTGTTCTAAATGGAAACTGTTTTAAGGACATTTGAAAGACGCTTCAAGCATTCAAAAGGAACGATTCAGAATTCGGTCATCTTATTGATGATTTATGGATTTGAGGAATTCATAAGCACGCAATTGTTCAGGTGAGATGAGTTTCTTTATAAACACAAAGTCTTGCAGCCACTCCTAGATCATTCTTCAATCAAATTGAAAAGCTACTTTTCTAGGTTAAAACGGCAGGGAGGAACTTTTAATTCCGGTGTATGAGATCGCGACACTGTGACTGTTACTGTTGTAAAATCTGTAGTTTTGTGCCACTTTATTTTAAATCAGTGCATCTTTTGCCCAAAGAGGCGTTTTACAAGAATGTACTGAAGTAAAAAGACACAATAGTCTTTCAAAAAAATAAATCTTACAAATGACAGCTTGCTTTAGCCGGTACTTTCATTGTTGTTTAAGGTTGCATGAAAAATTTTCCGAGGGAGTTGAAGATCATCCAACTTTTCATTTTTTTTTCTTTTACTTTTTTGAATAGCATTACAAATTTTGAAAACTCTTTTTTACCTTTATGGCTATTTGACTGATTATCTTTATGTTGCTGAACCAAATCATGACTCTAAAAGCTATTTTCGAGTATGTGCACCGGTTTTAATTTGGGTTCGCGCACAAACATTCTAAAATAGCTACGAGTCTGTGTTAGTTCAAGTAAAATTATCGTTAAAAAAAGAAACTGAGCCTGATCTAGAAAAAACGAATAAAAATTTCCCCATAAAGGACATAATTTTGATAAGCAAACTTTTCTTTCCCGTCGTTTTCAGCTTCTTTAAAATAAAAACAGAAAGAAAGCCAGATTTTTTTAATACAAAGAGGAATCACGAAATCATCTGCAGCTGGCCTTTCAAGACATTATTATTTATTTATAACTTTCGCTGTTAAAATCAATTGAAAAACAACTAAAAAAAATTCTTCTCGAAGAACAACAGAATAATTGGTTTAAGTTTATCATACAAAGAGCGAGAGAAACTCATAAGCCAAGTGAAGTAAGTCACGTTACCTGATTTTACCAAGTCGGCACCATACTCTGACTAATTCCCCAGTCTCGGAACTGGGCTGCATATCATTGAAAAATGGCTGGGATTTTTGTCTCTTATTAACCACGGTCAGCAGGGCTATTGGGAATTGATCTCTAAATTTACTATTTATATTACTGAAACTGAAAGGAATTCACCTCGTCTCTCTAAATCCGGGAGAAGTAAAAAAATAAGTAGAAAAATGTAAACACAAGTCATGCCGATTTTCGTTTTGTACACGTAAAGGGTGACGTTACGTAGCCTCCTTATGATACAAAAAAAATACAGAAAAGAAAAAATGAGGGATACATATATTGCTTATAGAAAATAAAATAACATCGTTACGAATATGGCCAATAGGGCACTTCCAAGTAAGTGCCGTTTGAGTTATTATAACTAAACAATAACTGATAAATGAAAACCATGAATTTATTGGTAGCACAGCCATGAAGTGTTTTTTGGTCTAATAATGTCCCCCTTTGGGGAAGGGGAAAAACAGGAGTAGCTGCGGAAAAAACTTCTCGCCCCGGAGCAAGGGCAAGAACAACAATTAATTTAGCCCTCTTGTTAAGAGGTTTGCTTAGCTTCTCAACATTTTTGTACGCTCAGAAGTTTTGCACACACCAATTCAAACGTTAGCGTAATACAATTTTATAGCCTCTGTATTTCCTGTGCTTGTTGGGTTTGGAAACATCTTGCCTCTCGTTATTGATGCATGACGTTTATCACCAAGCTGTTCCAGTTAATCTAAGAAGCATGTTCAGGCCAACAACTGATGTATATAACTATAGAACCAGGTCTGCATCAAACCAACATTATTATGTTGAGTGCTCTCGAACGGAAAAAATGAAAAAATCATTTCTGAGAATTGGTGCTCTGATATGGAACGGTCTATCTAAATCTCTTAAGTCGTTGAGAAATCTCAATTTAAATACAAAATCAAACAAATTCTCCCGGAGTTTCTTCACAGAACGTGCAGACAGACAGACAGAACGTGCGGACTTGACGCACACGTGATTGAACCAAGGTGGACTCCTCTATTTACTTAAATGGGACAGTGACCAACACGAACGCTTCGGCTACTTTGGTCACTGTGCACATATCAACAAAACTTGTATATTTTATTTACTTTTCATCAATTGTTAACCTACTGATTCTGTAAGCCATCTTATTATTATATACTGTACCAAGTTGAATAGTGCGTAATAAACTTGAACTCCCCAAATACTTTGTGATATTAAGCAAATGGAAATGTGATAATATCTTACATATTTCATTTTTTTTCCTTGTCTGCCTCCAATATCAATTAACATTAAGCTTTAAAATAATATCTGTAACTCTACAGATCAGCTTCTATATTGTTATGTTGACAAATTTTTATTATTTTTAATACGATTTCTTTTCCCTGCCTCGAACTATATTTAGGTTCAAAATATGTGTGAATAAATTAAACTTTTGTTTTTTTATTATCTGATTATTAATGAAGGCATGGGGCCTATTGAGGGAAAATCAAAAGTGAAACTTTGCTCGGGAATCTTTTTTCATTTCCTTTTCCGTCGTTTTTTGTGAAACGTTCCTAAGTATTATCTTTAGGTTTACTTGTAAAAAAAAAACACTTTATGCGTTAACTCCCCTTTTACCTGTCAAAACATTATCTTCTCTTGTTTCAGGTTATTTTAAACGTGTGAAAATATAACCAATACTCAAAACGTAGAGGATGCTTAAATTTTAGGCAAAGCCTGTGGTTAGGAGTGTACAGGCGCCCGCGGAAATCCCTAAAAGAGATTTTTCATGTACCCCCGGGTTCATTACCTACCAAATTACCAAGAGAGTTGTGGAAAAAATACAACCCTTAGTGCCGGAATTACTTATAGCCGACTGGAGGTGTTTGATGTTGTAATGAAAAAAAGTGTCTCATGTTTGCATGATATTACTTGTAAAGACAATGATCCTGAATTACTATACAATCAAGAATACAAAAACGAGGCCTTCATCAGATATGGAAGCATGGTGTGCAAGGGTGGCGTAGTGGTGAGAGCACTTGTCCCCCACCAATGTCGCCCGGGTTCAAACCCCGGCTTCCACGCCTTGTGTGAGCTGAGGTAGTCGTGGTTCTCTCCCTTGCTCGGAGAGGAGAGACGGAAGAGGAAAGAAGACGGCAAACCTTGTGTGACAAGCGTGAAAACAACTTTGACTGAAAAAAACATTCCTCCAAACTTAACCCTCCTTTAAATAGATCTTTTTGGAAAAGCCCAGAAAACATTAATTTAAGTGAAGATCACGACAAAACACGCAAGTAACAGCCCTGTCACGTTTGTCACAAACAAGCGATTTGGCGTTCTGTTGCGTAAACTCACTTTTTTTTTCCCTCCTATCTTGCCAGATGTCCTTGTAGAAACAACTTTTTGTACAGCGTGGTTATGATGGCTGGCCCCTCCCTTTTTCTATTGGGCCTCGGTTTCATGATGAGTGGAGGTTTCTGGAAGACCTTACAGGAAGGAAGCAAGCTCAAACATTTCAATGAAAGACTCAACTACCGGATGAAGTCACTCAGTCGACTCTTCCAGCCATTTCTAGCCCCCACGGCATACATAACGATGGTCTTGTTAAAAGCAGACATTTTTGTGTGTTCCCAAATTGGTGCTGTGCGCAATGTGGCTTGCCAGGGTGCTGTGTCAGACACAAAGTTATCACAAGTAAGAACTTTTGAAATCCTTGCCAGCTGATCTTTTAAAGTTTCACTTTCTCATTTATCCTTATCATCCAAACATGCAGTCTGAGAAAATTCTGAGAGCTAAGTAGCTACACCTAACTCTTGGCTATTTAAAGCAATAACTGCAATGTATTTTTAATCTTCGCTTCCACATAAATGGTCAATTGTCCTTGTAAAAAATAAGCCAGTGGTTGAAAAACTCTTTCGTCACATTATTTCTTTGAGAATGCGAGGTATGGGTTAAGGCTTCCTGTGGCACTCGCTGGCATCCGAGCAAAAAAGCTGTTTTATCACCATCATCATCATCACCATCATCATCATCATCATCATCATCATCATAATCACCATCATTATTTTTTATTATTTATTACGGAGGGAAAAAAAACAAGTATTATCAGGAGCCATTCACCCTGGTAATGTATCCCTAACTCGGCCCTAATCTCGTTCCCAGATCGGCTTCGTCAACAAGAGATCTGGGTACGAGATTAACTCGGCCCTGATGAGACTGTTTACTGTGTTCATGTGGGTGAAATAAGTGTCATCATACCAATATAATCACTGAAGCACACGTACCAGCGCCGCGATATGACCATTACTTTACGCATGCACTTAACCATATCACCCGGGCAGTGGCAGCCATGGACAGCTGTTCCACCCTTATTGGGGCTCATCAGCATGGCACAACCGTCGGACCTCTGTACGGAAAGTCGCAGAGTTGGAACTAGTCCGCGTAGCAAGCGTTTCAGTTTGGTTTCGGAGCAAAAAGAGACCGTGGAAGGGGAGTTTCGGTTTTGATCGCGCGAGAAATTTACTTGCGCCATTTTTCGCGCGGTCTTTGACTCTTGTTGCTCGTTCTTTGCTCCTAAACCGCACAGAAACGCTTACTACGCAGGCTAAGTTGGAACGTGTGCGTCAGTGCTTAAATTGGTATTGTAACACTCAGGCTAAAGCCAAACATCTAACCTTTTCATGAGACGAACCAAACTCTAATTAGGGTCAACTTACATTAAGTTAAGATAGGACGCGTCGAACTAACCAACTGAATCAGACCAAAAGCAATTTTAACTGGCCAGCTGGTGTTGAGTATAATAAATTTTCTCTCGAACGAGGCTAATTGTACATTATCATACAAATTTTTAATTTATTGGTTTAGTTCGTCGCATGTGAAGATCGTCGTTTGTCCCGGAGACGATCTTCAGACATGTTAGACGATTCGAACTCACTCAGACGAACTTAAGTTAACCAGACGTCGAACTCTTTATGAACATAACTCAGTACGTTTGGTTCGTCTCATCAAAAAATCGACGTTTGGCCAGGCCTCAGTGGGGAAGTGTCCTACGAATTAATCCAGTTGTATCTATGACAACCAGATTCACTGTACTGGCTTAATTTACCCCCAAATCAGTGAGTTTCGTCGTTGTTGATTACTTACAAAGGGATTTCACTCCACTAATGGTTACTTTCTCCCTTCATCCAGGAGAAGTCAAACGAGCTCTACATTCTCAAGGTACACACGCAGTCCCAGATTCTCGGGTTAGGTATCTTGGTCGCATTAACGCTGTTTTCGCTGGGCCTCGTTTGCATTCAGCGATGCTGCTTTGAAGACGACACGCTTCCGAACCCGGGTGAATTCGCAAAGCTTGAAAAAGAGGTACTAGGGAATTTATTTCGCGAGAAATTGTTGCTGGCCATTCAAGAAGACGCAAAGAAAAAGGTGAACGACGTGTTCCAGATCAAATCTAAAAGGGATGTTAAAGATGTTTTTAACAGAGCCAGAGAAGCACTGAGAGCTATTAGTTACACTACCGACAGGAATGGACGATATAATAGACTGAATATTGACGATGAAGAAACTGAATTGCAGCTTATGGATTCCACCCATCTGTAACGCTGTCGATCATTTTGAGCAGTGGTAATTTGAACTGATCAAACGATCTAAATGGAACAGTCGGGATCCAAGAAATTTTCGTTTAGGGAGTTGTAACTTGTGCAGACTACTGACGTCAGTGATTTCTACCCTTCCTTGTCAAAATCTTTATTCAAAAATAGAGCGTTTTCACATGAGGTCACGGCGGCCATATTGGTGTTCCAAAACAATGAAACGGCGGCCAGGTTGGTGCACCCAGAAAATCCTCTGGGAGTTGAACTCTTTTCTCATGTAAATGATTTTTTGGTTCCAATAAATTAGCATGGATGCTGGCCACGTGGGTAAAAACGCTCTATGGTGGCAAGAATCATGAATTCAAATAGACCTCTTTAACTTGTATGTTTTGTTTTCCCAATACTCTAGGCCCGGGGGTGGGTACTTTAGGAATTTCTGGGTGAGGATGTGCCGCTGGGACCATTGAACCCTTAAACCTATACCAGAGCTAGTTCAGCTGAATTTTGCTACCATATACTAGAGTAAACTCCCCAATTCCCCCTATCCTAGAGTAGCTGTTTCCCTAGTCTAGATAAAATCTTCAACCAACTGATCAGTTTCCTGAAAAATGATACCCTATTCTAGACCCAAACGCTCTGATTTATATACCCTATCCTAGAGTAAACTGCTTGAAAACCATACCCTTCACAGCGGCACATACCTATATAGCCCATATATGGCAGTAAAACCCCCCCCCCGCTCCCCGGACTCTAGGGTACTGCAAATTTAGTCTTACTCACGTGCATATGTACGACAAAGAGTCAATTTCCCCTGGGACCTCTGTTGGGAAAACAAAACATACAAACTAAAGAGGTCTACTCGCCACAATTTTGGAATAAGGAGCATTATCAATAGAGAATAATGGAACAGATAGGGAATCTTAGGGCGTTAGCCGGGACATGTGAATTTCACTAAAGTTTATATTTTTAAAAGGGTTGTTATCGGGCTTATTTAAGATGCCCGCCATCTTTGCACGCGCTTAAGGACTGATGGAATAAAAGCGATGTCACGTGTTTTCTCAGGGGGCAAACAAGGGATAAATGCTTCCAATACAAGAAATCGCGGTCGAGTTTGTTAATTCTTGACAACAGAAAATGAACAACTTTTTGTGTTAATGGCGATAATGGCAAATTATGGATGGAAGTGATCATTTTTTTTCTTTTTTTGGATGCAGTAGCCACCGTAGATGTCCTCACAGCAAGGAATAATGACGTTAATTTTGTCGAAAGTCAAACCGCACATTTTGCATGACCATTAAATCGTCGTTTCGTTTTGAGAGAATAAACAAACGTGACCGCGATCTCTCGTATTGGCAAATTTTATCTTTTGTTTGCCCCCTGAAATATCACGTAACGTTAAAACAAAACTGAATGCAGGGCTGTCACTACGGCAAAGGGCTGATTTATTATAGGCCAATCATCGGCTAACAAAATTAGCCTTCCTCAGGGCCAGAGCCAGGCCAGAGCCTTACCGAGAGAAAATATCTTTTAACATTGCTTTTATCCCATCAATCTTAAATTAAAGCGCGTGCAAAGATGCATGGAGGGCATCGTGAATAAGGTCTATTATGTGAAACGTCATTAAGTTTACACGCGACCGCCTCAAAGAAAATGCGTGTAGAACATTGTAAGGACGACACCAAGAGCATAATGATCCATTATTTTCTCTTGAAAACACTGAATTAAGGTTTGCGGACCTTTCTGGGAACGAATTTCCGATTAATTTCAAACACTTAATTGGTCTAACAAAAATAGTTTTCCGTTGTTGAAATTCACGGATCCCAAGTACTAAACAAGTCAAGTCAAGTCAATTTTCATTTAAACTCCCACAGAATAATAATTAATACAAATTAGCGCTTTAACATATAAAATTGAGAGATTGTGAAGGACAAGAAATTTTCAATTGTAGGTTCATTGTGCAGAGTTTGGGACACCTAAATAGTTCGTGGAACTAACCGAGTAGGTGACCCAAAACTGTGTCATCATTCTCTCTTGTGCACTTACTCAGTCCCCTGATAAGACAGATAAGCCAAGAAAGAATGATCCTTATGTACCCGTCTTTAAAACTTGTGTTATAGAGATTCGCAATCTCAACAGGTCCCCCTGTTTTTATGGCAAAGTGCTCGCCGGTTTTATTTTGAAGCTACACGATGAAAGTCCTGTCATGCTACTCTTCAGTAGTCAGAGTTTATTCAGTTTGGAAGTCGGCTTGAAGCACTTGGTTAATTAGTTTAATCATATCTTTAAGGGGAACCCCTCCACTCTGGATCCGCCACTGATTATAACCTGACTCCGACTCTAAATAGCCAGAATATTGAAGTACTGTACTTGCTACAGCAGTTTTGTCATTTAAAGAACATTTTTTTCATCTTAATTGCAGTCGGTTACTTCCTAGAATAGGTTTCGTATAATTCTTTCTTATTGAAATTCTCTCTAATGTCTCAATCGCTTGTTCAATATCAAAGCAAAATTAAATATTTATCAAACACTTATACTGAAAGATGTTTTTTTTTTTTTTATATCAGAAGGGAGTGCCCCTACCATTACCTAGTGGCTGCTAAATGTCAGTAAGACCATTCTATCAGATATAGTCAACACACTCTACCCCACTTGTTTGGGAGGCTAGTTAGCGTCGAAAAAATAGAAAAGCTTACCCTGCGAGCGAGCTCTCCCTTTGAAGGATATCGTGAGACGTCACGCGGGAACGCGCAAGTGCCTTTCGCGTTAAGTTCTTGCACGACTCGCTTCCGTTCCCTCGTCACTTAGCTTGCTCGCAGGCTAAGAAAACATGTGAACGGTCTTCAGAAGGAGTAGCCGTTATCAACCTGCCCGATGGTATTTCGGTTTCCAGCTTTATTTTTCATTTTTTCTTTTCCTTTTTTTTACACTGACTGTTTCATCACTTGGTGTTCGCCTCGTAACTCGGCGACTCTCTAAACGTAAATTCAGGGGTTCGACAGTTTGACGTCAGACGACTGAGAGAGACTTCATCTCGTTCCAAAGGTTCTTGGCGTTTCGCCCTGCATTTCCAGTTGTTCAGGCTGGTCGTTTCGCGTGACCATTCGAAAAAGCTTGCAGAAAAGTGATTTGTGTTCAAAATGAGAAAAGCCAATTTTAATCCTTGTTAGTAGGGGACCCCGTAGGGGCTCATTAGGCTCCTACTGTTTGAGAACATTTTGTATATATTAGCGCGGCTGAGTGAATCGGACATTTTCGTCACTTTTGTCGATTGAACTTGTAATAATAGACTTGTGTTGGTCAAATGATTCATAAACGTAGAAAGCTATTTTGTGGGTCAAAATTGTAAAAAGGTTAAAATTGTATTTTGAGGAAAAGCCTAGTAAACATTCACTGCCACTTTCAATATAATTGAATATTTTTCTCCACCTACCTAAACGTCCTCTGTTGATGGAAATAATTTCAAAATAAACTGCATGGTATCATGGCATATTTATGAGCTCTGTCCAGAAGCTAAAAATTAATATTTTTGTGGCATTTTTTGTTTTTAATTGATCAGATTAACGATGGTGCCGCTAAAAGAATGTGTAAGCATTAAAGCCCACTGATTATACTTTCATCAAAGTCAGAGGCGTTGGAGATAGTTCTCCGCGTGCTTGAAACCCCTCAACACACCAAGGGGGATTTATTTTAATAAATTCATGAGAAGGCTATTAATGAAATGAAATGTTCAAGAAGGTTATAAAAACACACAGCTATTCTACGATAAGCAAAATTAGCCAGGAGAACTGTCGACTATCAACCTAGATCAATCGCTAAAAAAAACAATATCTTTTTTTTCCAGCGCTCGATCGTGATGCTTCGACTTTACCCAACATGAACTGTTAAGGAAAGATTCATTTGATTAAAAGTTACGTAGATTTACTTGATGATTTATCTTTTGGTGAAAATTATTTTCTTATAAGTAGTTTACGCCACGACTAAAGCATGCATGCAAGCGATGAAACAAGAATTATTTTTGTTTTGGAGGTGATCCTACATGGAATCGGATCACATTATCCAATCCGCAGGATATAAACTTGCATTTGAATTGGATCCCAGTGAAATCAGAAGCCGAAAATTTTTACTGGTGTTGGAAGTAGAGAGGACTAGAGAAGTTGACAAGACAGAGAGCTCGTTTTCTTGTCGAAGAAAATGCCAGCCTCGTAAGTAAACACACCTTTCAGTAACAAATTATTTTAAATTATTTCAAACTTAGCCGTTTGGGCTTTAACTTTATACACTGCGATGAACTTTAAATGCTGATCTATCAATTGTCACCCTTTGTGTGTTCTGCGCTCATGTCAAAATAGCTCTGACTGAACAGGCAATTCAGTCTGGCATCGTAACAAATATCACAATTTACGACAATTACCTTTAAGAATGTGTTCAAGTGTCGATTCCGGCCGGGCCAAAATTAATCGCAGCACTTCCCGTCTGTTGCTCAAGATCATGGATGGAAAACATCCTTAAAACTCATGTTCCCTACTAAATCGTTTTTATAGTAGGGTTCACTTACAGAGTTTTTACAGAAACCTTCCATCTTCATTTTTCACTTTTCGATTGTATTTTAAGACTTTCATACTGTACGGCTCGCATGTACAGACTAATCGGATTTTGGATGAGGGCATGTAAATTATCTTATAAGAATCCTCCTGGGTAACTTTTATTTTCCAAATTCAATCGACATCGTTTCGGAAACTCAGCCCCTTTGGCATCCGCCCTGTACACAAAATGATAAAAAGGCTGATATTAACAAAGCGGCCAAAGCTGTCAAAATCTAAGTAGAACGAAAACAAAGAAGGAGAAACCCATAATAGGATAAATTACAAAAATTCAAAAACGCGCCTTAATTATTCAGTAAACAGCTGCCGAGCTTTGGAGCATGCGTACTTCAAGCGACAAACATCACCCAGAAATTCATAAAAACAAAACGAGTGAATTACGAAAGTCATCGAGGCGATGTGTTCG